CCCGGGGCGGGCCCGGCCCCGCGGCCGCCGCTCACCCCCGCTCCCCGCAGGACTTCTCCCCCGGCTCCCGGCGGCACCGTACCGTGGAGGACTTCAACAAGTTCTGCACCTTTGTCCTGGCCTACGCCGGCTACATCCCGTATCCGCAGGAGGTGAGTCGCACCGGGGGGCACCGGGGGGGCTCCGGGCTGGTCTGTCAGAGCAGCCGCTCCAGCGGTCACGGCCCCGCGCCGGGCCGGAACAAAAGGAACGGCGGCGGCTGGAGGCTCTGGGGACGGGGCGGGGGGTGGCCGGCGTGGGCGGGGTGAAAAACGTCGGATCCGGCATCGCTCTCCGGGCGCTCCGGCCGGAGATTCCCGGGGCGGTGCGTGGGGAGAGCAGGAGCGACAGCGCCTCGGGGGGACAGGGGACGGCGCCTCGGGGACAGGGCGCAGCGCCTCGAGTCGCACGCGAGTCTGTTCTGAGTCAATGCTGTACCTGCTTTCTCGACGTGTTCCAGGAAACGCCACTGAGGAACAGCCCCAGCCCTCCCAACAGCACTGGAGGCACGATTGACAGCGATAGCTGGGATCCTCGCTTCAATGACACCCCCTCCTCTGTCTCCCTGCCCACCAAGAACAGAAAGAACTTCAGTCAGCTTAAGAGAGCAAAACCATATGGTTCCCTGTTCCAGCGGGCAAAGGCCAGCAACTTCCTGCCAGAGCGAAAACAAATCGATAAGATCAGGAAGAAGAAAAAGCTGAAAAGGAGGGAAACAGAAGTGTCTGCAGAGGAGGACTACGAGGAGAAGCTGCTGGAGCTGGAGGCAGAGGACTCTTACGCAGAGACACCGATGAGCCCCTCATCAGAGGGTGACCCGCAGTCTGTGACCGAGCACTGCTCGGTGTGGGACTCTGACACCCCATCCAGTGTCTCCTACCCCGCTGTGACAGCCGAGCAGACGGTGGAGATCCAGAGTGTGGGCAAACGAACGGTCATTCGGCAGGGCAAGCAGGTGGTCTTTCGGGATGAGGATGGCACTGGTGACGATGAGGACATCATGGTGGATTCGGGTAGGTGGCCTGGCTGTCCAAGAGGATCAGCCAGGTGGAAGTGGTGGTGCTGTTGCTGATCTCTTTGGTACTTTACCTGTAGCATGAGAATAATGCTGAGCAGTGCTGCCTGGGCAGTTAGGTTTTTGGTGGAAAAGGGGGGGTTGGCTCCTTTTGCAGTAAACTGAGTGAAAAGCTGCAACTTTATAGAAGCAGCCGGTTCTCCTCTCCTGCACTGTGGCCTCCCAGGTACTGCTGAGAGTCTTTTCCCATGCAATGGAGACCTGAAGAAAGCAGCAAAGTGCCTGTCTTTGAAACCCAGGAGGTTAATTTAGCACAAAAAGAGAGAAAAGTCCCAGTGTGGGTGTGAAGGCTCGACCACTAAAAAATGTGGCTTTGCTCTTTGTCTTTGTAGATGACGACTCGTGGGACCTGGTCACTTGCTTCTGCATGAAGCCTTTCGCCGGGCGGCCGATGATCGAGTGTAACGAGTGCCACACCTGGATCCACCTCTCCTGCGCCAAAATCCGCAAGTCGAATGTCCCAGAGATCTACATCTGCCAGAAGTGCCGGGACTCCAAGTTTGACATTCGCCGTTCGAACCGCTCCCGGACGGGCTCGCGCAGGCGCTTTCTGGACTAGGGGGAGGCGGTGCTGGTGCGCTGCGCGGGCGGGCGAGCCGTGGGTGCTGGCTGGGAGGCCGGGAAGGGCTTCCCCAAACTGCTGCTGCTCGGGCGGGAGAGCTGCCCGGCTGGCCCGCGGCGCAGGGACGAGGAATCGCCAAGCCACGGGCAGCTGGGGCTGGGAGAGGCCAACTGGTCAGAACTGCGGCGAGATACTGACTGTCTCGAGGGACAGACGGAGCTCTCTGAGCTCGGTGGAGTTTTGTCCGGTTACGATGACTGGGTGATGTCTGGGGAACGTACAATACCTTTGCCATGGAGGTTTTCTCATCCCATTGGAAACTGCAAATCCTCTCTGTGCTAGGAAACTCCTCCTCCAAAGAGGGAGGGGAGGAGGAGGAAGTCTATGTGAAGAGTCTGAAAAGTAAATGGCCCTGTGTTTTAAATTCAATGAAATATTATACCTGCCCATTTTTCCATATAGATCAATCTTAGATATCCTAAGGCTCGGTAGGAGCCAGTGTCAGTGCTACCAGCCTCTGTGTGATCTGCTGCCGCTTCCACAGGCTTGGGAAAATGGGAGTTCTGTGATTTGGCATTGCCCGAGTGCAAATGGGACTTGGGGCTCCCTCCTGTGCCAAGGGACAACACCCTGGCAGGAAAGAGCAGCCCTTTTTCTGGACAGGCAGCATGGGAGATCAGTGGCATTGGATTCTTCCCTACAAGGTCTCTTCACAGTGATTTTTCATGATTTTATTTGCATGATCGGCTCAAATGTGTGTATGGAGGGAAACTGCTCCGTTTCCTGTCCCTTTGTTAACCTCTACGGGGCTGTTTTAAGATGATGACTCTCCCTCTTCTCAGCCCAGAATTCAAACATGGACTCTAAAAGGGGCCAAAGTAAATGTAGAGCCTGGCAGGTCTGGCTGGGATTTGATCATGTCCATCCAAGTACAACAGCTGAGTTGATTTGTGTTTTCACTGTATTTTGAGACTGGACTGTAACCAGAAAGCCAGAATCTTTAACCTGCTGGTAGCAATGACACAGCTCAAAGCGAACGCAGGTGATGCAGCTACAGGGTGAAGTGCAATGAGGATCCATCCAGTGCAGGGTGGACAGGAGAGCAGGCCCCAGCCAGCCTCAGCCCAAGGGAAATCCCTCCAGAACCACGGTGGGGAGTCACAGCTCATACACAAGGCCAGGGAGATGCTGGTGTTGTTTCTCGATGACCAAACGCATCCCCGTGGGTCACACAAATTGGGCTGATGTTTCAAGGTATTTCTCTGAAGTTCTGCCTGGGGAATAGTGTATGTTCTGTCCAGGGAGACCAGGAGGCTCGGGGAGACACTGGCTGGTACCGCAGCCACAGCCAGACCAGCTGTGCCAGCAGGAACATGTCCTGAGTTCTGCAGTCACAGCATTGGAGCACTGCCTTGTCTGAGGACTAGCTCACTGGGAGATGTGCCCTGGTGATGACTGAGGGTCTTGCCAGGATACAGGGTCAGGTGCCCTCCTTCAGACATGTGCTGGAGCTGCCAAAGCCTCAGGCAGCCCAGTGCCACGGGGTCCTGGGCTCCATGGTGTGGGACATCGGGGCACAGGTCTGCCAGATTGGCAGGGCAATGGGGCTGCGTGACTTGCAACTGTTCTGTCCTGCTTCTTGATAAAAATCCTATTCCACAAAGCTGCAACAGCTGACTCTGGGTTCAGAAAACCAGCTCCAGCTTCTGTGAAATCTCAAGACCATGACCATGCTGTGCTGCCTTCAGAAGCTACATGGAACCACCAAGGAGTTTGCCAAAGACTCGCCCCTGACTGCTGCCTGACTGTCCTTTGCAGCCAGAAAAATAACCAAAGCACTCCAATGCTGCCATTTCACTCTGCAACTGGAAAGGCTTAGGAAGGTCCCAGCTGCTGCTGCACAAGGGTTGGACCTGCTCTGAAATCGGTCTCTCTGTGTTTGCAGCGTGTCCACAGTTCAACTGGACCTCCATGGAGCGCGTTCCTGAAGCTTTTATGGGTGCACTGCCAAGTGAACTGGGTCTTTTTTACAGAGGTTCGACACTAATCAATGTGACTGACTCTTGTTCTGTTCCCTTTTCAGATTTATCCCAGTGGACGGTCTGACAAGTCCAGCACGTTACAATATCAGCAGAGAGAAATAAAAAAGTAACATCTCCATTCTTTTAGTTCATCACTTTCAGCCATGTATAATTATAGTTTAATTCAGAACTTTATTTTTTCATTAAAACTTTTAATGAACCATGTTTTTTTCTTAAATGTGAAATAAGTGAACAATGAGTTTGTTTTATTCCAAACTCGGGAGTCTGCTGTTATGATTTACTGGTGTGTGTGCTGTTGTGCCAGGCAGCAGCAAGATCTGATGCTTCAAATGCTCTTCCCTAAACAATACACCCAGTCAGGCAGGGATAGGAAGTAAAGGCAGGTATACTCACCTTTCTCCAGAGCAGCTGCTCCTTGCCAGCCTCTGGTGAGAGATCAGGTCCCTGCAGCCTTGGAAAAAGCCCTGGGGGCTGCACTGCATCGTGAGGACTGGCTGCTTGGCCAGACCCAAAACAAACCCTTGAGAACCCTCCAGGAGCTGTGCTGAGGGAGAGCTCCCTCCTTCCCTCCCCACTGCCAGAGGACTCCAACCCACCCAAGGGCTGCCTAAGCCTTGGTGCCACCCTGCAGCTCCGGTGTGTGCCATGACCCTGCAGGCACTGCTGCTCACCCAGCTGCCATCAAAGTAGCCTTGACATCTTGGCAAACTGAAAAGGTGGCTCAACCTTTTGCATATGGCACTAGGTCATACTGGAAGCTAAGCTCTCATGGCTTATAGCTTCTATTTTAATTCTGTTGGTAATTTTGAATTATACAGAGTGATAAAGAGAAGTCCCAGGGAGCTGTGGCTGTAAAATGGCAGCTGCTCACAGCAGGAATGTGATTCCACAGTGAGGCTGTTCTTACAGTCTTGGCAAAACTTGTCACTGACAGAAAACAAGGAAGAAAGTAGTAGGTGGGCTGGAAAGACTGACCCAGCAACTGGCTCCCAGGGATGCTCTCCTGGGAGTATTCTGCCATGTCCTAGTCCCTGCAGGCTGGCTCTCACTCCTGACCATACACCTCACACAGTGAAAAGACATGAAAAGGGAACTTCTGGTAGAGATTTCTGCCCAGTCCCTCAAGTCCCACCCAGCAATGACCAGCAGCAGTCAATGAGCTGGATGGAATGGAGGGTCCTATTATGTTTACAAAACCTGCAACCCTTGCTTTCCAGGGGTTTATTTTCAGGATTCTCCTACAGATGCAAAGGGAATGGGAGCTGCTTTTCAGCTGAATATAATTTATTGCACATTTTACATTTCATTTCAGATCAACAGAACACTGGTTGTAAGTGAAATAAAGCTCTGCACCAGGAGCTGGTCACAAATGAAGAGTTTTGGTTTTAATAAAAACAAATGAACACCCCTTCACAACATGAACTTGTTTTTTAGAGAAGGGAGCATCTCTTTCAGACTGGCTCAAAGAAGTCTACTTTTGGAAATCTACTTCTCCTGTTGCAATGATCTGAGCACAGAGAACCAAAGCTGCCCAGAACAAGGGCCAGGCCCATGTCAGGAAAGGAGTTACGGCAGGAATTGTCAAGAGCATTTCTGCACTGCCAAGACAGGGGTGTTTTCCCCTCTGCTCTCACCAGTGAGCAGTGAAGGCTGGTCTAGACTCACCTGGAGCAGACATGTGACCAAGGAACAAGGATTCCTTGTCTCTCTGTAAAAGCCTTGGTGGTGCTGACGTGCCCAGTGTGTAGCAGATTCTACAAGGTGCCGTTTTCAGCTGCTGTGTCACCAGCCCAGGACTGCCCCTCTGCTGGAAATCCCTGGCAGGGCTTCTAGGCAAGATAAATCCCATGGATTTATGCCATAACTGCTGCATCTCAGAAAGGGCAGCTGAATGTTACATTTTCAGCTCTTTATCCATTTGGCCTCTCTCCTCACTTTGGTTTGTTTACATGAACTACGTTTGTTTTTCCTAGAAATAAATTAGACGGGAAGAGATAGCTGCAGCATCAGAATCAAATGAAATTAATTGCTGTCTTTCTCCTCACTAGCTCTCCTATTTTTCCAAAAACCTTGATGATACATGGCTGTGGATGGCAGAAAAACTAGTAAGAGTATGATACCCCATGTCCTTGTCTGGAATAGCAGTGTTGGAAATAAGCAGCTGGACAGATTGGTGCTGAAGAGGTCAATGTTACTACAAAAGGCAAAGACCTTCATACTTAACAAAAGTATGTGGTTAGTAAGTGCATTTCAAACACAGATTTGAGATGGAAATTCTCTCTGACCTCTTTCCAACAAAAAGGCTTTGCACAGGGGACTTCCAGGAGGTGGCCCGAGAACTGAAATTCCCCTCAGGAGCAGGAAAAGGTGTGTTAACTGCCCCAGGAAGTATGTGGAGAAGTGAGAACAACAGGTTTTCATCCCTGCTCAGTGCCACGAGGTACATGTGAGCGCACGAAGGGGCTGTGGCCAGCTGGCAGGAGGGCACCTGCTCAGCCCTCTGGGCAGAAAGCACTGTGCACTCAGAGTCACGCTGCTTTATTGAGTACCAAGCCACAATATTGCCTTGAAGCTGCCTGGAGCAGCAGGGTCTCTCCTTTTGTCCCTAACAGAATCGGCAGGACACCACCTGCTATATGGACAGTAAAAATAAAAGTGTCTCTGTTCAAACTTGCAGCGTCCGGGGGAGGTTGTGCAGTTTCCATTGACCCAGGTCCCGTGGCAGACACGAGCTCCCAGATTAGCCATCAGCATCAATCCTGTGAGCTGTCAGGGAGAACAAGGAATGGACACATGCTAGAACCCACCACCGTACCAGGGACAGGCAGGAGTGTTTCTGGCTGCTAATTAAACATGACTCATATACACCTCCCAAGGCACTTCTGGAAGCTCTGTCAGTTGGATGTGCTGCTCACACTGGCCAGGGAGCTGGTCTAGAGCAAACAGAGCTCTGTGCCTTTGATTCAACCTGCCAGACCCACAGAGGTGACAGTAAAACTTGTCAGGAGGTTTCACAGAGTTATTCCAGCAGGGAAGATGTTTTGGCAAGTAAGACAAATGGGGACAAAGAAGAAATCTGGCTCAGGCCTCCAACATGCCTCCATACATTCAATTCAGTCCCCAAAGGGTCACCCAGTGCTGTGAATTGCCTGGAGGGACAGTGGCACCTGTGGGAGGCCTCTGCTTCCAACCCCAGTCAGAGATAAAGGCCAGCTGGTACAAGCAGCTGCAGAGCTGCTGCTGAGCTCTTCTGGGCCTTGCTGCAGAGGCATGTCATGGTCAATGCATTCCAGTAACCTGTTCTGAGCCCCAGAACCCCAGTTCTGTGTGCTTCACCACGGAGCTGAAGCAACCGTTTTGGTTCCCAAAGGAAGAAGCTGGGCAGCCCATGCTACTCACATTGCTTTGGTATCCTAAGGGCCTCGTTGTCAGCTGACATCACTTGGTGCAGAACTCCTCGGAACTGATAAAGCACTTTCAAACTCTTCTCCTCACCCACACAGGGGTCGTAGAAGCCTGGCAGCCCAGCCTTCAAACAGGAAAGGACAAACTGAGCATCAGGGAATGGACTTTCACAGTTCTTCAGCTGGCCAGAAACATCTATTAGTGCCAGGACAAGTGTCATTAAAAAAAGGAGTTTTGCTGCCAGAAAGGTGAGATGCTGAGGAATCACCTCTGCAAGTTTTGAATACATAAAAGTAAACCAGGGGGTTAGGAAGTTTCTGGTGTACAGCCCCAGGGTCTGCAGACACCAAGATGCTGTTTCTTTGGCACTGGAAGCGCCCAGAGAAACAGAAGTTCCTGGACATTCCTAACACTTGGTATGTAAATGGCTTCTGTGAATTGATCCAGAGTCACTGGAGAGATCCCCTGGCAGGACACCACATGGTTCAACTGAAATTCTGGGTCACACATTTGAGTCATGGAGTCTGGGCTTCGACAGAACAGCTTTGACAGAACGTACCTTGGAGGCCTCTGTAAGGATGAGTTTAGAGTCCTTCACCAAGCACTGCAGGGGCACAGTCACATCTATTACCTTCACCTTCTCATTCTTCCTGCTGTTGTCATTAACAAACTTCCCGTACCAGGCATTCACGATAATCAGACCTGCATGTCCCAGGAAATCACAGCTGTGATGAAAGGCTTCCTGCCATGGCTGGACAGACACTGACAAAAAGACCATCCCAGCATTTTCTCTTGCTTTCACCAAGATTTAATTCCCTGGCCTGGACCCACTCTTCTCAAGCCAGAACAACATTTCTACTTGGTTGTTTGTTAGCAACCTTCAGCACTAGGATAGAGTGACAGGACTTCAGTGCCACACTGATGTGACAATCTGAGTGGATGTCAGTTCCCTTTGGAACACTCTGGGGGAAACTGGTAGTAATCATCAGAGATCAGATTGCCACTACAATCCATGAACAATGGGATTGATCCCATGTGAGGGAGAAATCAGTGAAAGCTAAACTTGAGACTACAACTTTTGCACATATTTATACACACACCTCTCTTTGGTGGAGAGGTGAATCCAGACTGATGTCTTCAGTTTCTCGATCCACCTCACAGCATGTCCCAAAATAATATTCTGTGATCCCTCCTAAGCTCAGGCACCAGGAGCTGAATCATAATGGGACTCCCCTACTCTGTGCTCAGCAGCAACTATGCTGCGCTTCATCAGGAGTGGGAATGAAGAAACAACACCTTTGTATTGTTTCTTCTTCTCTTCAAATTTATATAAAAAAGTAAATGATATCATAATCTTTACCCATTCTGGCTTCCTCTGCTTCAATTATCCTTCGGACAGACTCCTGCATCAACCGGACCTGTCACAACACAAGTGGCAGAGCAGAAATCAGGCAGGGTCAGACACTGTGGCCAAAAGAGAACAGCCCAGAGTGAAAAGAGCTGCCTTTCACTAAGGGAGACCACGTTACAAGAAAGACTCACCGCAGCTTCAGCCTCCTGCTTCTTCTGCAGGATGTCACTGGCTGTGTTCTCCCGCTGCTTCTCCAGCTCTCTGGCAGAAGGAAGGCAACACCACATCAGGAATACACAGCAGATGGGATTCGGCCACAAACTGGCAGGTGTCTGCCTACCCGCCTCTCCCAATTAAAGTGACCCACAACCTCACACAAAAGAGCCCTAGTGAGACTTCCTCACTCTGAATGTGCAGCACAGCCTGGCAGTCTCACCTCTCCTTCTGTGCCCTGAGGTAGGGTTTGATGACCAGCCTGTGCATGGCAAAGTAGATGACAAGAGGTCCCACGGTGGCATAGAACACGGCGCTGGGAAGCAGCTGATCTGTTAGGTGGACAGGGAAGAAGTAGGTCTGGCTAGCCCTATTCAGCCTGCAACAAAAGAGAGCAGAGGGACAGGTAAGAGGAAAAGCAGAGTTGAATGTGCTTGATGAAACACACTCAGCAGCAGCACCTGCTGCTGAACCAAAGGGAAATGAACAATGAGCTCAAGAAGTTAAAACTCCAATAAACTGAAAAAGCCAATGGTAAGAAAGACAGCTGACACCAGCCAGAGCCAGATTTCAATGAAGCAAACATCTCTCATGACAGTACCTGACCATTGTACAGTGTTTTTTTTAATCTTAGGAGAACAGGAGAATAGGAAATTTGGTCATTAATTTCCCCCAAAAAAGGTGAAAAAGAAAATGCTTCTAGAGAAGGCCTGTGTTCACAACACTGGCATGGGCTTTCAGGACAGGTGCATATTAGTATTTTTCTGATGCTTATAGCAATATTTATTTTAGAGAACATGAGTTTCCCGAGTTCTTCAGGCCCTTCAGCAGTTTGGCATCCCACCTGCCACGGGACATCCCACCACAGCACAAGGACCCTTAATGAGCTCTGCCCCTCTGTGAACTGCACCTTGTTAGTGGTACAATCACTGCAATAGGTAATGGTAATTCCCTAATTCAAGCATACACTTGTGTACAGTGTTACACAAATAGAATCCAGCTCTAAATCCAGCTCTACTAATAGTATTTTCAGAAATCTTCCAGCACTTACCAGAATGCTCCAAACCTCACTTTAAGCTGTATTTCAGAATATTCTGATGCACACAGAGGTGGCTCAGGTTGTAACACCAGCAGGCGGCACCCACTGCTTACCATGGGCACTGCCTGCGTTAGAAGTGAGGGCAGCTGCACCCTCTCCCAGTGATGTATCACTACACCTGTATTGCCCTGGGACTGGGACCTTCTCACTTGAATATTGGAAATAGAAGTTATGGTCAGCCTCTGCAGTCTAGAGTTGCAATCTTGAACTTACTTGATTTTCAAGGACACTCCTTGGGGAACACCAACACTGACAGTGGCTCCTAAAACGCTGTGCCTGGAAATCTTCCTCTCTGCTCCATATTCCACTACGGTCCCAAAGAAACCTGCCCTAGAACAACAGAACCAAAACCTAGTAAGACAGGGAAGACTTCTTCTCTTTACTGAATCCTGTAATTCCCCAGCAAGTAAAGCATGGAAATACATCTGCATGTAGCAGATGTTGCCCTCTGGAAGATTCACTGTGTATCTTCAAGGTGAGAATAGCCCTTCCAGCTTGCTTGGTAGTAAAAAGACTACAAGAACTTCTGCTTTCTTACTGGAGATGATATAGACATATCACACACAAGTATTTTAAGTTCCACATAACCAACCCGCCAAGACATTCACTTCAGCCTTTACCAGATTTAAAGAATGAAAAGCAGATTCCCAGCAGGCCACAGAAGCATTTGGTTTGTGGAACCTGGAGGCCTACAGCAGCAGAAGAGGACAGATTCCTCAGGTTGTGAATAATGTGAATTTCCTCTTGAGCACTTACTTGAGAGAACCTTTCACTCGTGTTTGATCCTCATCCTGAAACTTATGCTGGTAACTGACCATCATGAAAGAATGGGGGATTCCCAGCTGAAACACAAAGGGCACAAATGTATGAAACCATGTCCTTGACCACTGCTGAACTCTCCCCCCAATTTCCTTTCTCATCCTTGAAGTGGCACAGAACACAGAGCAGTGCTTGACACAACCTCTGCAGCCTGTTACCTAGGCTGGGTGTAACATGGATAGCACCAACTGGTCCCTTAACCTCTAGTCCCAAGTCAGACTACTGCCAAGACAGGAGGGTGAGATCCCTCTCTCCCCTGGGGCAGGACTGCTGTCCCTGTGGCAGCAGCAGGGCTCTCACCTGCAGTGCCAGGGTGAAGTGGCTGGTTTTGGTGTCCCGGACAATGCTGGTGTTCATGGCTGACTGGATGCCCCACCGCCACTGCAAGTAGCCCATCGTGTTCTTGTCGAGGTTGCGGGCCAGGACTGTGGTGAGGCCGGGGCGGACCCCGCGGGACGAGAACTGCAGGGCACAGTTTGTGGTGATGAAACTATGGAAGTGAGGAAAGACTCATCAGTGCTAAAACACAGGCTCTCAGGTGGCCTCAAATTTCTTCTTGCCCAGGAACTTTGCTGAATGCCTAGAGACCATCCTGCAAGGAGTGCGACACCCGAGGTTTTCAGGGAAAAATCAAAACTAATTCAGACTGCCCTGACCACAGCAGTGCCCAGGAGAGCAGGTCGTGCCCTGGTTACTGCCTGTGCCCAGGCAGCTGCTGCTCCCGACCTTCCCTCCTGCCCAGCACAGGTAACAGCCTGGTCTCTGCAGCACAGCACACTCAGCTGCTGGCACAGAGCAGCCCTGCTATTTAGTAACCCTCAAGCATCAGCTCCAAAAAGCAGCACTAAGGCTCTCCACAGGGAACAAGAATCCTGTACAAGCTCTGAGGAATGTTGTATTTACTAAATTAGAAAATACAAATGAAGGAGCCTACACTGGCTCCTACAGTGCTCTGGTATGTGACTTCAATCACAGCCCTTACCTTGTATTCTCGTTTGCAACCTAAGACTTCTATTAATTTGTGAACAGACACCTCAGTAATGGCAAATTTGGTATTATTTCCCAAAAATACAACATATCATCTCCTGTTTTGCTGTCAGAAACTCCCTCTCACACATGGAAGCCTCAGAAGAGCTTCCCAGAGCTTTTGTTCTGCTCCCAGAGCCAACTTCTGTTGCTCTGATTGGAGATCATACCTCAAGTATCATGAATCATGAGAACATCAACTACAAATCTAAGGATGGGGAACATAGACCCTCCTTAAACTGGAAGTATGAAAATGGAGAGCACCAAAACCCAGATATGGTACAAGTCTTTTGACGATACAAATATGACCTTAAATCTAAAGAGGAAATATCTTATTTTGTAGGATAGAAAACAAATCCAGAATTAGCGTGGAAGAAAATTCAAGTAATTTACTTAGTGTGAAATATTAACCATTAGACCATTTTTCTAATATTTACCATCTTGGTGTAAGATTACGGAATATCTTCAGCCCAAAGAGAGGTCCATGAAGGTCTCCTGCTCCAAACTCCAACTGTTCAAATGCACAATGCCAGAGTGTTAGAAGAAAACAACCTTTACAACAGTGACAAAGTATGTCACAAGTGTCATTTTTATCACAGACGTTTTACACATCTGAGTAACATTTACCACCTCTTTCAGCACTCTCCCTTTCCTGCACCTTTGCATTCAGAAGAAAAGGTGTCTCGCTGAGTCAGGGTTTATGGGTAAAACAAAGCCAGTTTCATAAAGCTACAGGTGACTGCTACTGGCACCTGCTCTGGTCACTCCAGGGAACATGGAGAAAACACCTCCCTCACAAAATCTTGATGCAAATCAAAAGCCTCCAGTCTATGAATTCTCAAACAAGAGGAAAACTCCCACTCCCCCAAGCTGAGGAAACAGGCTAGCAGGAGCCACTGTGCAAGAAGGAAGGCACAGGCACTGGTATAGCAGCCACCTGCCAGCTATACCAGTGATACCATGAGCATGTCAAACAAAGCCCAGCTTGCACATGGCTCAGTCCATATCTGCTGGGGACTCAAACTATTTCCCCCACAACTTCTTCCCTTGAGAGAAAAGCAGTTTTGGAAGCAAAGGCAAACTATCATGCTGCCTAAGGTGCCTGCTCACAGCACTGGAAGGTACCTCAGAGCCTTCAGACAGAGAAATTAGAAAGGCAGGAGACATCAGGTAACAATTCTGTCTGCACAAGTGAAGTCCAAATTGCATGGCCAAACGGAGAGGGGAAAGAAATAAGAAAACCCAAGGTTTGGCCTTTTTCTCAAATTCCTTTAAGAATTCCTTTTTCTACACTCTACAGAATGTAGCAAATGAGAGATAAACCACAGCCAAAGTTCCCCCCACCAAAATAAACACTGGGTAACAGACTGAATATGAAACTCCACAACAGGTGTACCCTTACCTCTCCCCATCCCTTGGCAGATGTCACTCGTCTCAGAGCAAGGTTAATTGATCCCCCTCCATTCCCATTCTGGGTGGAAAGGTTACCAGACAGTATTGCTGTGTCCGTGGCAGTCAGGGGTGCCTGAAAAATGAATATATTGTGAGCAGTAACTCTGGTCCAGTTCACACAATTAGTGCATGTTCTACAGGGATGTAATCACAACTGCAGAGTGTATGTGGGTTTGTAGTCAAATACCAAGTATGGCAAAAAGTGAGATAATTCTTACAGTACCAGACACTTGTGACACCTGTAATGTACCTCTTGAAGTCCTGACCCTGAGCTGCAAATTTAGTTTTAGACTAAATTTCTACAACTCTCTGGGGAGAGGAAACAATTCCCATTCTCTTCCTTACCAACATCCTCAAAAATGGGTGCCATTCGTTTTCATCCACTGAACATACCATATTCAGTCAGAACTGGATACTGAGCACCCCCACTGGCAGGAGGGCAGGACCACTGCAGCCCACAAACGAGTCTCCTGAAAGCTGCAGGGCAAACCCACCATGCTGCTGGCCCTGAGCTGCCCTTCCCCACCTGCGCTGTCCCCCCCAGATCCCGGTGAGAACCCCTGAGCAGTGTGTTCTGTGCCTCATTCACTCAGGCCCTGCTCACACGTCCGTGTCCGCCCTCCTCACCTCGATGGACTGGGATATGTGCATTTTGTTTATCTCAATCTGGGGAAAGCTGCTCCCAGGCACATCTTCGTATTCCTCGTCATAACGATCAAAGAGGTCGGTGGCATCTATTCCCACACTAATTGTTCCCTGAGGGATGACAAGTGAAACAAGCACTCAGCATTAGCAAACATCCAACACACACAGGACAAGTGGCTAAAGCATTCCTGTATATGACCACATTTTTGTGCAGTTTTCCCTTTTTCTGCAATTACCTTTTCCACTCTAAAATTAATTTCCTAATACACAAGACAAACAAATGTCAGTGATTACAATATTCCAAAACAGGAGAAAGGGCAGCTTTTCAGCATGAACTCAACTTGCAATCCTGAGGTCATTTTTCTATTGTGACATATTATAGAAGCAGGTAGAACACCTTTACAGAGCAGGTTTCTTCTTCCCCCACAACTGAATCTGCTATGTCAGTATTTTGAAAGTTAAGATAATATATTTCAGAAATTGATTTTCTTCAATGGAAGTTAGCCAGAAAGCCTCTATGTGATTCTTTTTATGAGTTATCTAAACTAATTTACTTCTAACCTGCATCATTCACTTGCAATTGACCTCATTATTCAAAATTTTTGTTTTCTTTTTCTAGTTCATATCTTATCAAAAGAAGAAAATCTTGACAAACTTTTAGTAAATGGTAAATATTTTGTTTCTCATAGAAAAACTTACTCCTGCAAAAAACTAGGCCACAGCTCCATAATCTGGCTACCTGATGCTGTGCTCCCTCAGACCAACTACAGGAGTGGGTTTCTTTGAAAAGAGCATGATTAGATCCCTGTCTGGGTCATATAACTTCAAGAGGCTTTGGAAACCTTCCCTATGGACCCATTCAGCAGCATCCCAGCTCCTATAAAATGTACCAAGTGCAATAAAAAACCCCTCTCTGCACAAGCACAGACTAAACTCTGAGCAGTTTGTATATGGAAACTCAAAAGCTGGGTAGGTACAAAACCCACGCACACCGTGGTGTGCCTGGCCGAGGCCAAGCATGGATGGAATAAATCCTTATTTCAGTCTGAGGGAGCATTTTTCCTTGCTCACTCCACTCTAATCACATATGGAACCATAAATAAAGGAAGAATTGCAGAGTCTGACAGGACTCAAATCCTCTCTCTGCCTTGGCTTCCAGCTTTTTGCTGTGGAGATTCCCGACCTCTTCTCAGTGTTTATTTTCTGATTTCTGACGCACCAAAAATTGGATAAATATTTTAACATTGAAAAGTACCATCATTTTCAGGAGAACCCTGGAACTGGGTTCTAACCATGCTTGGCAGCTGGAGAATTTCAGAGCAATTGCACTCACTGTTCTGTGAGGCAGCACCAGTGGCCAGCTCCTGCCCCTTCTGCACTTTCAGGAATCATCTTCAAAGTCACCTTCAAGGGACTCCAGACCCTACAGCTCCTCCAGTTTCAGCCCTCTCTTGTGCTGTGCTGTTCCTCGAAAGGAGGTCAAAAGAAGAGGGAAGCAAGGGAGAACCACTAACTGCCCTGGAAGGGCACAGCCTTGTGCTAGCAAACACCCACTGGAGACCACCTTGCTGTACTTGTGCCATGATGCTGCATGGATCCATGTGCATTCCTGGGATTCATTGCACCTCATTTCTCTAAAACGTACTCAAAATCTTAGGATTTCCTTTTTCACACTTGTGAATTGTAAAGTAAATATCCCTCCCAAGGAAAAAAGTAAAACATCTGAACCTAACCATGAAAATCCACAGGACCTGTTCAGAGGAAAGGAGCCTCTCCCTGTTCCCTCTCTGGCTCCCCAGCTGACCTCCTACTCCCCTGCCTTTCCCTGAGGTGAACGGTGGACCCTGGGCAGACCCTCCACCTCCCACTAAGCAGGTGAAGTCACCCCAGAGGTCTGTGGATCCTGGCAAGGAAATTGGTTCAGGTGCAAGCACAGGAAAAGCAGCAGATGGTAAAGTTAAAAATATTCCCAGAGAATGAGAGCACCCCTATGCCACCGGATAATAGAGGGGACTGCTGCCGCTCCCAGCTCCCATCAGCCACCTGCTCTGACCATGGGAAATGAGGAGCTCTCCCCAAAGGAAGAGTGGCAGGAGGGAGCTGTAAGGCCTGCTCAGAAGCCAGCGCTGCACAGCGCAGCAGCTCCCGGGGCAGGGAGTGGGAGCAGCTCTACGGAGCCATCGGAGCCGGGATCAGCTTCTACAGTCACCTTCATCTGCCACCCTGTGAACAGGAAACAGACTCGTGGAATTCACAGATGTGCCAGAGCAGAATATAGTCCCTCCTTTTTCCCTATGAATTTACCTTCAGGAAGGTGACACCTGGAAGCTGTGCCAGGCTATGCCTTGAGGGGCCTGTATTCCTTAGATGTTGACCTTCCACAGCAGGAAAATATGGAGATTTAATTTCTCCTAACGTGAAATGGTTCTTCTCAAACCAAGTAATGAACTTTTCAACCCTTCTGCATGTCTTTGAAAGCAAAAACAAAGCTCTAAAAGCAAATAGGAGACTCAATTCCAACCCTCCAAATTGCCTACATCTGGTTATTGCTCAACATTTCTGGTTAAAACGCTTTATTTTTGTGGAACTGTTTTATAGAACTGACAAAATGTTGGACATTTTAAAATAACTTGCGCTCGTGTATGAAATGATCACAGCTGTGCTCCCCAATTCCACGGGAACACTGCCTGGAGAGACATTTCCATCGGCTGCCAACCAGCAATTGCTGTAAACACCCAGATGGCTAATTTTATCCCAGGACACAGGCCGAGGCTCACAGCACAGCTCACAGCCACGGCGAGCGCCCAGGGAAAATGTCACATTCCTGAAGCACGGAGCAGCATCAGTGGAGATAACCATGCCCCTCTCTGAGAACATCTCTCTGACCCCGCTCACCCGCACCTTCAGCAGGGACTGTTTGCCTTGACTGGTCTGTGGCACCCAGAACCCCCTTCCTGTGAGAATAATGCTGTCAACAGATACTCACACAACATCTTATGCTTGTTTAACCTTCCAGTAAAAACCAGTTCTTAGTGTCTGTGCACTACCCACAGCCTGGGGATCTGTACAGTCCATTGGCTTTGCTAAGAGCAAAGGCGGTGCCAAGGTGAATGTCTCAAAATATTACAGGTCTCCTTAGATGGGTGTTTTCCCAAACCAGTCCTAAGCACCCCTGCACTGCCACATCTGTCCACTCAGAAAACACTGTGATTTTACACTGAAGTATGAATTCATTCGGGGAGTGTAGATGCAGCTCTTGGATCATGTTAGTCACTGCATGAGAACCAGGATTTTTGTGATTCAGTAAGCTTTGAAACCTCAGTCAGGGACAATCCTGAGAAACCTCGGGTTTGCCTCACACACTCATCAAGCCAAGAGCCAGCAAAGCCACTGGCAGTCTGTGCCATGGAGTACTCCAGTCTACCTCCACGTCCACCTCTGCCTGCCATCCCAACAGTGCTCCTGAGCACCTCTGACCAGCCAAGGTTGGCTGTGAGGTGGGTCACTCAGGGTCAGAGTCGGCTGCTCAAACGGGGAACGGCATCCAGGACAATTCTCATCCTGAGTGCACAATCAAGCTTTATGAAAACAGGCACTAAGTGTGATATTGGCAGGATCCCAACCCTGTTCAGGCTGACTCTGCTCACTGTGTTGCTGCCCAGCTGCTCAGGGCTGCCTTGCATTTGTCACTGGTTTCAAGGCTGCATTGGAATAGCTCCCTGCATTCTTGTGACACTGCAACAGTGTCAAAGGGAAAAGCTGTCAGGTAACTGCAGGGAGATAAAGTTTATTTAGAAAATCTAGAAGGAAATCATAAATATTTCAGTTTCAGGTCTGTTTTCTTGAAATTGCTGAAAAAGGTATTTTGCCCCAAAAGGTTTCAATGAGAAAAGAAAGTAGAGGATTGTTCAAAGAATGAGCTGTTCTCCCCACACTGTCCAGAGAAACTGCATATGCAAAAGAGAGAAAGTCACGCAGTTAGTGTACATGCCTGAGGGCCTCTTTCATCCAGGTCCTCACCCAGGCTCAGCATACCCTGCACAGTGGTGATAATTTACGGATCCACTCTTGTGACCAGGGTTAAGTCTTTGCTTACCTTTGGATTAGTTCGCTGCTGCAGTCTCCTCTCTTCCCTCTCTCTCTGCAAACGCTCAAATTCTTCCCTGATTTCAGCTGCAGTTCTCTTTCGTTCCACAACCTGCTCAAAAAGAAATGAGAACCAAAAGATCACCAGACTGAGGCTGTTCAGGGCATTGCACTGCTGGGGGGATGGAGGCCCACGAACCTGGGACGCACTAACACGCTGCCCCAGCTGCTGAAAGCTGCTCTGCACCAACCTCAATAGTCAGAGTTTGGAAGGAAGCACCTGGGCCAAATCAAATGGTAGGCATGAGAGAAAACTCCATGCTTTGAGAGAAGGGAATATGGTCTTGTTATTTCCATTCCCTTGACAAAACTAGGGCAAAGAGCTTTCCTACCACAAGCACTAGACACTGCAGTGCTGTTATCCTCAGCGATCCATTAACTGCTCTACCAGGTGTGGACACAAAAATGAAAGCAACTGAAAGGCTCTGGCCTGAAGTGAACTGATTCAGTGAGAGTTCTGTGATTTTAGGCTATGCTGTTCCACAGCTGCTTACCTGACATGGCCCAGGGAATGAGGATTTTAGGGTTTTGGTATGGATAGAAAGAGTATTGGATTTGGATTTTCAAAATTAGACCAAGTCTGCAAAAAGCAGTTCAGAAATGTCTGTTACACGCTGCCACTGCACCACATTTCTGGCAACTGACTCCAAACTTGACCTCGGTGCTGACCTGACCCAACACCATATGATTCTGCTGCAATCAACTAGGGCTGGCAGAGGCCAGCAAGGGACTCAACGGCAGGACAGCCATGAATGAACAGGTTCTCTTCCAAAGCCCATAAAACCCAACCAAAACCAAATCAAACCAAAAACACCAAAAAAAACCCCTACCAACCCCAAAAAGCTCAGGAAGAAAAAGTAATTTCAAACTCAGAAGCTAGCTGAGAAGATGTTTTGGATGAAAAAACAAGTTTCGGATGAAAAAGATGGGACTAGATGGACAATGACGACACATTCATCTCAGACAAAGATGTTGCCTGTCATGGTAATATCCTGCCAGGGAACTCTGAATGTCAGGTTTATGGTTCTCTTGTTAAGTGCAGAACCCAAGTGTTCTTCGAAAATCCATCATGGTGTTTCAACAGGGACAGAGAGACAGAAATAACTGACCAAGGATGCCTTCAGACCAACAGGCATTTACTACCAGCCAGGTGTCAGTGCAGCTGGTAGAACAACAATGGCAGGTAAAGGTGGGTTTAGTCAAGGCCACTGGCCATAAGGTGCTCAATTTCTCTCACCTCCCAGCCTTCCATCTCCAGTCCTCTCCTCCCATATATGTCATAGATGGCTCTGGTCTGTGGATCACTAAGCACTGCAAATTAAAACCAAAAGAGAGGAGAGAACTCAGTTTTCAGTCTTCTCCTCGGATTTCAGACCAAGACACCTGCATTACTTGGAATTCAAGCACAGCTCCTGGAAAAGTCTTGTTCTACAGTAGTACATGGACGGCTCCTACCAGCTTCCAATCTATCTGCACCCCAGGTGCAACTTGCACACCAGGATGTAAGTAAATTTCAGCTTAATTCAGACTATTTTAAAAGGGCTTTGGCATGAGAGAAAAACTCTGACTGCTACGAATCAGTTGTCTCTATCTCAGTCTGAGCATGTGGAAGAACTTGCTGGAAAACAATGGAAACTGAAGTCAGGTGACATGGAACAGAACCTTGGGATGCAGCAGTTCATCAGTACAATATGAAACTGTCTTTCTGTTTGAAGCTTTTCAATCTTCATTCTCCTATGGAAGAGGTATTCAGAAGCAAGGGAAGTGATGAGAAGATCATTTACAACACGCAGCAAGTAAGACAGAGACTCCACATCTCATTCCCTGCAGCATTTATACAGCATTTCTCCTCTGACTGACGGGACGGAAGCAGGAAACAGCATCGCTAAGTATCAGCAAATTTAATTATTAATTTGTAATAATAAATAGCTTCAAAAAGCACGAAGACACAGCTCTCCTAGAAACCCCATGAAAACAGTTTTTGCAAAGCTCAGCCTCCCCCTGACCTTCATACGCTTGGTGGACAAGGTTGAAGAGCTGCTCAGCCTGTGTTTTGAGCTCGGGGTCGCGGTGCTTGTCGGGGTGGTACAGCATGCACAGCCGGCGGTACGCGGCCTTCAGCTCCTCCTGCGAGGCCTGTGGAAAGCACCAAAAGTGAACTCGGGTACAACCAATGCCACTTCCACAAGGTCACTCTTAAGATCAGCCCTGAAAGGGAAGTCCATCAGCTGTTACGTGACACTAGTTTGGCCAAAGCAGGAATGGAATATTGTTTCATTATATAAGTTAATAAAATGTTCAATTATCACACCAGGATCATCCGCACTATCTGTAGCAGAACAAGTGACCTCAACAACAAATTCTACTCATATTTCAATCTTAATCCCCAAGGAGATACTTTAACTATCCAAAAGCAGTGACTTTCCACATGTAAATCCACAGTTCTACACTCATCCCAGCATGCCACAGTCCCCAGCACCCTGCTGTGCTCCCCAGCACCTCGTTCTGCTCCCCAGCAGGGTCTGTGTCGTGCTGCAAGGGAGGGAGGTGCATCACCTGCCCACAAAGCCACAGACAAATAACCATGAGAACACTGTGTCACCAAATGCATCAAGAATGAACCTGCCCTGTCCTTTACCACAATCACTCTGGGACCTCAGATAGCGCCCGGCCTCGTTCCAAGGACACGGATGGCTCTTTCAGAAACAATGGAGGAACCCCCCACTGCCTTCATTATCATCTCTCAAGAGACAACCTCCCAGGGATGCTATTTTCAGACTCCAGTGAGTCCTGGTAACCTCTCCTCTCTCACCTCATGCTGCTACAACCCCTGCACTGCAGCCCCTGTCCACTCCTTGGAGATTGCTTAATGCCTACTTTTTAGAAGTGCAGTTGCCAAAATCAACCAGAACTTCTCCCCAGCAGAGCTTCACAGAGCTACCAATTGTCCAGTTCCCAAAATGTCCAGGCATGAACCAGTTCCTGGGCACAGGGGGCATTCCTGGAGGAACATGCAGAGGAAAATAATCAAAACCTGACAGTCCTGGCTGTCCCCAGGGGCTGCCACAACCAGGACTCAGGACAGCCAGTGAGGGGGGGCACCCAGAGAGGGACATCAACAATGGGATTTATAGACACAAATTCCATTTACTCTTAATGGTCTTCAGGGAACAAAGATGGCACAGTTTCCAAGCTTTCACTGGGGAAATAAAGGCCTTAAAAGGTCATTTCTTAAAGTAACATCTTTTTTCCCCCCACTTGTGGCAAGGAGGGTTTCCATCACAGAAACGCCACTCACTGGTGTATCAACACCAGGAATCCACCTGGATTTGAGGACAGCTCAGAATAAATCTTTTCTCTGTACGTTTGTACTATTTCACAATAATGTTTTGAAATCATATAGCTAAAGGGTAGCTGCCAAATTTGCTGGTCCCAAGACAGCAGATTAGCTTTTTTCTTTTTACTACTGTGTGCTTTCTCGGATATCAAATTTAAACTCGACTGGGAAGGGAGGGGAACATACAGGCCCCAAATGGCATTTTTAAATCAAATTAATGATAAATGGTTTAATGTGCTATTGATTATATCATAGAAATGAGCAGGTTCATTTTTCATAAATGCCATGTTCAATAAAATGTTAGATTGGGCATTTCATCATCAGTGATGCTCGGATCATTGGTTCAATATTCCATGAGCAACAGCCTCTTTGAAACTGCTAAAGAAACCCTGACAACATTTCAGATTGCCGGGAAATACCTAAGCCACTAATAATTGTATGTAAGTTACATTTTTATTACCAAGACTCTGGGCAAACTTAAAAGGCCTCCCATCTCCCTATCTGGGGTTTAAACAGCCTCATTTGATGTCTCAAACACAGCATAATGTTTTTAGCAGAGTAACATCTCTAAAAGATGAACTATTCACATCCCCCCCCCCACCATCTCCACTTGCAGGCTCCCATCCCTCTATGGGATCCCAGCTCAGCTGCCACATCACCCTGTGGCTCAGCACATAGACATGCTGTTCACTGCATTCCACTACAGGGCAGTACTGCTGACGTTAATTTGCAAGGGGCAATTAACAAGCACCCACTCCTCTCTGTTGGAATTACTCCCTTGCATACCCCTTTAACTCAGCTGCAGCTCTCTGCTGTACCAAACCTGAGTGTCTTGCTCTGGAAGCCTGCCTAAGTTAAGTATTAAACCCTCCCCCAGCAGTGGCAACCCTTGTTCAGTTCCCACCCCTGTTTTAACCTCTGCACCCTGCTGTTTGGAAGGGGGAACTACGAAAGCTCCCAAGGCAGGTACAAGCATGGCATGGCCCCACCGGCTTTGAACCAGACCAGTGGTCTCAAGTTGCACAGAAACTTTTCCAGCAGGAGCCCAGCATCAGGGAGTTCTGCAAACAGCTCAACCGTCACACACTCTTCCTTCAGCAATGTGGCAGATTCCCACAGATGAGGCACAGGAGACTGTCCCTGCAGCCCAGGGACTGACAGCAGTCCCAAAGGGAATTTTTCGAAGCTGTCAGCCTGAATCGTTTCCAAGTCTGGACCTCCCTCTGCACACATTAATGGTGGTGCAGTATGAGCTTTGTGTGACTCCAATGGCAACATCCAGGACAATGGGCTTGAAAAGTGAGGTCTGTTTACGCATACACACACACACACACACACACAAACACATAATATATTGCTGTTGCATTTGCTGAAACAAACTACGGCACAGCTCCTATATTCAGATACTTGGAGATTTGCCTAATTGTTACTATAAAAAATAGTTGCCTCCCGTAAAGTTCCGAACTGATCCAAAATCGCACCAAATAATAGCCATCTATTCTTAAAAGTGAAATCAAGGACTCTCGATCCTTCTTTTACGGCGGGAGAGGTGCTTTGCAAAAACGCCGGTGTTTCCGAATCGGAAACCTTCGGGAAGCGCCCCCGGCCCCGCCCGAGCCCGGCGGGGGCGCGCGGCCGAGGGGGCGGGTGAGCCCCGCGCGCGGAGCTGCTCGGGAGCGCCCAGACCGCCGCGATTCGGAACGAAACGCGCATTTCTCGGCCTCAGCCGCCGTTCGCCCGCCGCACACAGCCGGGAGCCCCGTGGCCCCACCCGAGCTCTGCCGTCCCGCCGCCAGCGGCGGCCTGGGCTGAGGGCGCGCCTCAGGGGCACCGCTCCCGCCGCGGTGGGCAGGGGGGTCTCAGCCCGCCCGCCCCGCCCGGCCCCGGCCCCGGCCCCGGCCCCGGCCCCGGCCCCGCGGCCGCACCTCGCGGCGCACGTTGAGCAGCCCATAGTAGTCCTGGTTGTCCGGCGCCTCCTCGCCCAAGGCCGCCGCCATCGTCCCGACCTCTCACCCCGCGCTGCCGCTGCAGCGCCCCCCCGCGGACCGGCGGACCCAGCGCACGCGCACGCGTGTGGGTACCGCCCCCCCCGGCGCTCTCGCGGTCCAGGCGTGTGCGCGTGCGCAGCGCGGGAGCCGGGAGGCGGCGGAGGCGGCGGAGAAGGAGGAGAAGCGGCGGCGGCGGCGAGGGGTGAGTGAGGGAGGGAGGGAGCGAGAGACTGAGGGAGGGCGCGGACTGGGCCGTACCGGGGCACCGGCCGCTCCACCGCGCTCCGCTCCGGCCGCATTCCCGTCCCGGCGCCCTGGCGCGTCCCTCTCGCCGAGGTCTCTCCGCGGCCGAGCGGCGGCTGTGGCGGAGCCGGGATGCTCGGGGCCTCCGTCCGCCCCGCTCCCGGGCAAGACGCCCTGCGCCAGGTGCGGTGCCTGCCCAAAGGGCCCTCGGGACCTGCCCAAAGGGCCCTCGCCCACCCTGGTCACTGGCGGGACCTGAAGGGGGGACGGTGTCCCGAGGCCTCTTGCCGCCGTAGCAAGAAGGCGGTTTCCAAACCCTGCTGTGACCAGCGAGCCGCTGTTCCGTGACCGCTCCCGGGGCTGGCGGAGGGCAGAGGGAAGCCCGGCAGCCCGGTCCAACGCAGGGTCGCGGGGCAGCTCTGAGCTCAGCGGTGTCGGACCCGCGGCTCGGCCGGCGGGGACACACCGAGGGCACAACGTGTGCTCGTTTGTCACCAGCAGATCTGGAGCAGTTCTCCTTGGATCAATAGAGCTGCTTTGGCTTTTGGAGTAGAGAACAAGGGCCTGGAGTTCACGCTGTGCTGCCCTCCCTGATGGTGGGTTAACCCAGCTCTGAGTACCGAAACTGAAGGAAATGCCTCCAAAATGTGCAGAGCACAGAGCTTTTAGCAAAGGGCTGCCCAGTTGCTGTGTTAACCCGAGTGCTGGCAGACAGACTGGGTGCTTGTTGACATCACTGCTGTGATAAGGCTGTCAGGAAGACAAATGCAGCCTTTCCTGGTCGTGAGTGGTTGTTCCCCAGTGGCTGGGTTTGATATTTGGGGAGGGTGCTGGAATGGTTTTCAGGTACTGCTGTCTGTAAGACCTCTCATTAACACCAGTGCAGCCCAGCATGGAGCTGGAACTGTGCCTTCCCATTCTGAAGCTCAGCTTGTCTGCTTTGGATTTTGGATCTTCACGTAACTTTTATTTGAAAACAAGAATGTTTTAATATTTAATAAGGTTTTTTTTCTGATCCCAGGGTAGTTAACAGGGAAGTATTGATTGTTTTATAGCAGTTCCTCTGCACTCCTGGTAAGTGAGGCACAGTGCTTGGAACAAGAGGTGCACAAAGGACCCTTGTCTGAGAAACCATGTGGAAATGGGTCTGTTCTGCAGGGGAGCATGTCTAGCACCGCTTTTCCTCAATGAACCCACCTGCTAGATGGATTTTGTTTCCACGTGGTTTAGGAGTCATTGAGTCTGTGCAACAATGCAAAGGAGACTCGAGTTCTGAGGATGTCAGTTGCCATAGCAACGCTATTTCCCGTGGATTTTGGTCCTGTCATAATTGTGCTCTTTTCCTAACGTGATTTGGGAACTGTGTGGTCCTTGGGGGTGTTAGTGCCAGAGTTACTGGGGAATCCTTCCCCTTACCAGATTGATCTAATGCTTTCCTAAAAGACCCAGCTGCTCGTTGCTGGCGCTGGTTGCTGTTCCCTTGCATCACAGATGATTCAGGGGAAATTTTGGGAATGTTCCACAGGTGTCACATCTTGGCAGGGAAATACAGGAGGAGAGAAATACGACTTCAGGGAGCTAAATATGAACTGTGCTTTCTAAGCATATAGAGAGAGCTCTTTAAAACTCTGCATTATAACAAAGGAAATGTAACATCTATGGCAAAAAGCAACTTGAGGGGGGGGAAAAAAAGGAAGAAAAAAGAAAAGTAGTCGTTTGTGCTTTTCTGAGCTGCTGAGGTTTGGCCTGGGGTGCAGCCTCCTCTTGCCCATGTCACTACTCACAGGTTCCCCACACTGCACGTGGAAGTGCTGTGGTGCTGGGTGGGACACGGTCCCTGCAGGAAGGGAAGCAGCCCCCAGGACTCAGAGCTGGGTTTAGCTGGCCGTGTGCTGTCAGAGCTGTGACACCACAGCTGCTGCTCCCGCGTGTGCAGCGTGCTCCTCCAGCAAGCCCTGAGTGGCCTCACTTGTGGTGACTCAGCCCTGCTGCGGTGGAGCCAGAGGTGCCAGGATCTCCTCTGGGGCTGGATGGAGCTGCCCTGCCCGGCCCCAGCAGGGCCAGGACACTGAGGGGCCCAGTGCAGCAGATTCTCCCAGTGGAGTCACTGCTGGGAACCTGTCCCCTCACCGAGTGGTTTTGCTATTATTAACTTTAGTTCCATTGCAGCTCAATGGAGGGAAAAACTAGAAAGTGCCATAAATTCAGCCGAGCTTGTCAAAGCTGTCAAATTACCCCCTGACAAAGCTCCTGCCTCTAATGACTACAGCATCAGCCAGAGGGGATGTCTGTGATGGGGCGACAGCGCCAGGGCCCAGCACTGTTACACTTGTGATGTGCTGTCATCAGGGCCTCCAGGGCACCAGTCAAGGGTGATGCTCTGACCAGAGTTAATTCTTAAAAAAAAAAAAAATTAAGACATTCCAAGGATGTAGAGTAGCATCCTACCCTCTGTTCTCAGCCAGAGTAATGCTGATTTCTAGTAAAGATCTAAATTCTGCTAAATTCTAGTAAAGGTCTTCCCTGGTCCCATTTCTTAGCATTACAAGTCCAGAGAGATAATGTCTTTGCACGTATAAAAGGTGGTATTGATTTCCTGTTACTGTTGTCCTGAAATGTGCACAGGGTGTCTGTGGAGCAGTGACAATCCTCCATCACTAGCTTTATGGGAAAAGAATGGTTATTGAATCTCTTCCCATAAAATATAATCTCTTTCTTCCTTCCAGAATTTGCCCACTCCTGGGGGAGTCCCTCATGTTATGTCTTTGAGGAAATTGATTTTTTTTGTCTCCACTTTGTACACTTGTGTTTAGTTTTATTTTTAATTTGGCTCATGTGATGTGAAGTGAAGGCTTCCCTAACATTAAGCATGCTTTCTCAGTCTTGTACTGCTTCTCTTTCATGTAGATTAACACTTTCAGAATGTTTTAAAGTAAAATAAAGATATTTGCTTGGCACAAGTCTCTCTTGTTGTTGCTAGGAATTTTTTTACTCTGGACAAGTTGTTGCCCTACTCTTTCTTTCCAGGCAGGGCTGAGGCACTGACAGCTTTTTAGCTGCTTACAGATAAATTCTGGGTAAGTTTCTGGAGTCAAACACATGCTGATTTATCATGGCTGAATGACACCATGGTGGAGAACACAACTTGCAGTGCTGTCTGCTCAAGAAGCAGTGTGGTCTTTCAACTTGAACAGTTGCAAAAATACTCTGTCAAATATGTCCTTTCCTCTGTGTAGCAAATGACTGACTATGGGATTTTTCCTTTCAGGGAGGAAACGGCAACATGAATTCATAGATGATGAGTAGGATGCCAAAGCCAGAGATGACAGTGCTCTTGAAGAAATGCTGGGTAGAACAAAAAGGTAAAAGGAACAGCTAATTGAGTGCATTTCAGAGCCTGTGGGACTTCGTGGGGTACCTTTCCTTATGAGGCAAATGGCACACCCCCTTGAACCAGAGCTCAGTGTTCTGAATTCCTCCTCCTCTGTTTTGCATGAAGTCCCAGTGCTGCCTCTCACTCCTGACCTGCTCTCTCTGTGCTTGGGCTTTCCCCAGAGCTGTGTCACTCTGTACCTAAAGCCCGTGAGACTCATCCTTTCCACCCTGTCCTTGCATGCACAGGGGCTGCAGCTCTCCCTGCCCCTCCAGGCCAGCAGTCACACCAGGTCTCTGCTGCCGTGGTTGTGCTGAGGGCAAAGCCAGAAAAGAGCTGCACTGGGTGGGTCCCTTTGCAGCCAGTGCCGTGCTCTGGAGCGTCGGTCACTGGTCAGTCGTGGCTCGTTCTGGCTGGGGACGTGCCCTGGGTGGGCACACACGGCTGCAGTGTTGGGATGCTCTGCAAACAGGTGCCTCTGCCAGGGGTGAATCGCTCTGCTACTCTGCTGTCTTTTACTGTGTTTGGTGTTAATGCTGTGGAGGTGCCCAGAGGAATCACTTCTTATTGGCTCTTTCATTCTGAGAAATTATCTCTGTAAGGGAGGCATGATAGTCCACCTGAGGACTTGGGGAGGTGAGAGGCAGATTTAATCACACCTGCAGAGTGCTGCACACTGGAAAGGCCTCATTATGGTCATCCAGTGGCAGCAGAAGTGGCTGAAGCAACTGATGAGGAGCAAGAAAATCTTTAGTAGTAGTGTAGTCCTCCTTTGGATATTTTCATGCCTGTTTAGGGCAGACTGACTTCAATCCCCCAAAAGTCAAAAGCAAATGTTCTCCTTGAAAGTGTTCCAGGTTTGTAGTGGTGAACTGTGTGTTGCCCCTGGCTCTCAGCTCCCTCTGGCAGCAGGTGTGTGGGACACCAGGGCGTTTCTGGGGCAAAGCAGAAGATCTTGTCAATAGTGTGTAAAGGGTTGGTTTATATAAATAACAGCTCTATTCTGCTGGAAGCTTTGTTTTTGAAACAGCAATCAGGGAGGAATTCACTGTAGTTTAGGTGTTGGTGCCATTTGGCAAACTGGAGGTCTGAGTGTCCTTGGAGCCTCCAGCCTGGTACAACAAGAGCCTGTCATGGGGCAGAGCTCTGCACCCTGCCCATGTTCAAAATATCCTCTAAATATACTCTGAAATACAGATTGGGGTTTTTTGAATGATCCTGACTTAAATAAGCTGTCCTACAGTTCATATATATGGTGATACAACTTTTAGTTTAATAACACCAGAGTTGAGTATTCAAGGATACTTTAAATCATAATTAACAAATTTTTGTTGTTGTCAATCCGTATTTTGGGAGATCTGATAGTTTTGTCTGTCCCTTTTCTGCATATGTGTACATTAAGGCTGTTGATGTATTTTTCAACTACTTCTATAAACTTGGATGTAAATCTGTTACATTCTTTGAGTTTCAAAATTCTTCACCATCAGTCTGGAGAGCTTTGAGTCTGTAAAGCTGGGCTCTGTAAAACTGGAGTCTGTGGTGGCAGGAGCCATGTCCCTGTGGCAGTGCCAGTTCCCCAGAGCCAGGACGTGTTCCCTGTTCCTCCCTCTCCCTGTTTGGGGCTCTGGAGCCCAGCCAGCACAGCTGCAGCACCCATGAGTCCAGGTGAAATGTGGAACAGGGAGGTGATTTTCAGTATTTGCTGCAGTTTCAGGAGCTCAACAGACATGCTGTTTTACTGCTCACGCTGGTAAACATTGGCTCAGGGCAGATGCCCAGTGCTGGTGCTTTAGGGTGGCCAGTGGCCACTAGCTGTGCTCAGCATTGCCGTTGCCAGCTCTGGCATCATGGCACATGCTGTCCACTCAGCAGTGGCTGGACAGCTCTGAAAGGACCAGATTTGGCATCAGCACTGTCCCTTCTGCAGGCGTTGTGCTTCAGGTGCTGCCAAGTCCTCGCTGCTTCTGCTTCCTTGCAGCACGTGGTGTTTGGTGTGACCCTGAGGACAGACAGTTGCCTGCTGGAGTAGCTTGTGGTTTTTCCCTCAGCTGTGTCACCATTCAGGTTTTCAGTTGTGGGGGCACATCAGTGGCTGTTACTAGAACTTGGGGCTCCAAGGTTTTCTAATTTTTGTTTGTGGGGTTTTACTGGTTTTGGTTTGGGTTTTTCCCCCAAGAAATTGTGGATATTTTTAAGTAGTACACGTTAGTTCCTCAGATGAGCCATTCACTGCAACGTTGGGAATTTTAATCCAGATATTCACTCTCAACAAACTTGCTATGATGACCATACAAGTGCTTTTGTTCAGAAAAAAATTTCGGTATTGCTACTAAGAACATGAATTGGAATTTTGATTGTGAAAATTATTGGCAAAGTCTGGCCATGTGGAGCAGGTTTTACAGTGTGCATGATGGGCTGTTGATGGGGGTAAGCACAGATCCCGGGGAAGGTCCCAGGTTTCCTGTAAATATTCAGGTGAGGTTGTGCTGACTTACTGACTTACTTGTGCTGACTTGTTTCCCTGGCAGAGATGGCCCTTTGGATACTTGTTAAACAAACATTAAATACAGACTGATGCTGTCAGAAGGAGAATGCAGATCACTTAACACCAAAAGTGGCACTTCACAGGGACCTTTTGCAATTTGTAGCCCAATAAAAAGGGTAACCCCTGTAGGAATATCCTGTCCTTGCCTATTCTGTCCTTTTCTGCAGTGCCGACAGGATCACATTCCTGGTTTTACTTTCATGCTGTCCCAGGCTGAAATACTTCATATTTCACACTCTGGGTTCTATAAATAATTGATATGCCTGTCTTAGCAACTGAGGATCAGCAGCAAATTGTATTATTGTGGAGTAATAGGGATTTTCTGCATTCTTTACTCCTTTTCATCTCTAATTTTCACTCTGCCACTGAGAGTGTAGAAAGTGATTTACTTCACTTTGGGGAAAAAAAAGTATTACTGTTCCAGTGTTACTGTTCCAGTCCTTCAGGGGAGAAAGTTCAGGGGAAAGTCAGAACTCACAAATGAACCCATCTCAGTGAAGACCAGTTATTTTTGCGTATTTGCTGCAGCTACTGTTTGGAAATATTCCTCATTCTGTGCAACTCTCATGGGTCACATGGGAAAGAATAGTTTTAATGGTTAGATGAGGATTAGGCAGACCTATAAAGAAACTCTGCTCTGTAACTAAAACCAGTGAGAAAGTATTAAACCAATCATTTTTGCTGTAAGAACTGCTGTGTACCTTGCTGACAGAGCAGAAGGGGTTTGTGTGATAAGGACCCGTCAGGTCCCCCCGGGAGAACTGGAGCAGCTGTCCTGCCACAGTGCCACTGGGAGCAAAGCATGAGTGACTCTAGTTTGTGACACTGGAATTACACTTCCATTTGGTTTACCTGTTCATAAATAATGATGGGAGCAGTCGGGGAAGTTCCTTCTCATTATGAATTTATAGCATGGAGAGTCCAGTTGAGGTGGAGTCCTTTAAAGATTGGGATAATGCTTTCAGCAATGATGCTTTTTAATTGAAAGCTTAAGTGCTCTGTGTGCTAATGATGCTCCTGGAGGGAATCACAGGAGCATATGACTGGGGACTTGGTTTGGAAGTGCCAGGACGGGTTTCTGGGCAAAGGGCAGAGCTGGGGAGGTGCTGTCTGAGCAGACTGACTTGGGTAAATTTGACTTTGCCTCTGGCTTCCAGTTCTGGAATCTGCATGGCTTTGAGCACCTTCTGCCTTTGTTACCATCACCAATTCCTCTTCCTTTGGTTCTCCTGTTGTTCTTCTGCTGTTGTCTTCCCCTCCCCTCCCCTGATTCTTCTGTTCTCAGTGCCTGAAGCTGACAGTTTCATACCTTGGTGACCGGTTTGGCTCCCAGATCTGTATTTATTCAGTTAATGCAGACAACAGTCCAATTCCAGGGGAGTTAAGTATCTTGGAAAAGATACCTGTTTAAAAACAGGAACACAAATTTCGGAGCATACCTTTAGGGATCTTAAACATCCTTTCCCATTATTATTTGCTCCAGCCGCGGCTTGCGATCCGATCCTGAGCTCAGGTTGTGCTCTGTGGTGCCGGGTTCCCTGGCCAGTGCTGAGCTGGGAGCTGTGCAGCCCTGGGAGCAGAGCCAGTTGGCTGCCAACACTGCACCAGGGCTCCCGGCTCTGGGGCTTCGCAGGATTTACACTTTCTCGTTGGGGAATAGCTGGATTTCCTATACTAGCAGGGGAGGGGGGTTGGACGTGGGCTAAAGCATCCACAGAGAGCAGCCAGGCTATACAGCTTGTTACAGGAGGATGACAGCTTAAAGAAAATTAAAAAAAAGAATCCTTCCATGACCCTCATTGAAGACTGCACTAAAATTTCAACTGAGGCGACCACGGCTGACAATCATACTCCTTCCTTACATGGAATAACTCGATTGTCTTATTAGAATAGAAAGCAAAGACAAATGTCTGGATATAGTGTAGGAAATTGTCTTTACTAAATCTAGCTCAGCACTTATGAGCACCGTATATATTATTTGATTTTGCCAGAATTACATAAACATGGGGGAAAATTGTTAATGTAAGTTGACTGCCGGAATAAATCACAGCCTAATTATTCTTTTTTTTTTCTGGCTAAAATTAGAATTTGATATAGTGGTCAATAGACATTTTCTTTAATTTTTGAGACATAATTTCTAATAGCTAGTCCAAATGAATTGGAGAAAGTTGCTGCAGAATTGAAAAAATAAATTATCCAAATTTTATGGTGACTTACTGTTAAATCTCCTTAGTTGGAAACTTTAATTTACCTCATATTTCAGTTTCTTCTCCTCTAACTGGCTTATGGGTGTATATTAGGGCAAAATAATTGTTACTTTTTTAGTGCCACTGGAGTGCTGGGAGCAGGCACAAAAGGGAAGCCAGACCCCTGGCTCAGCAAAGGCTGAGGGGCTGCAGGGGCAGTGTGTGGGGCACAGCGGGGCAGCTGCTCCCTGGCACTGCTGCCTGCAGCAAAGGCTGACCCTTGGCACCTGTGTCAGTCCCCCTGGAGCTGTGTGATGCTGTCCTGGGATAACTGGGGCTCCAGCACTGCAACCCCCTGGGTGGCCACGTGTTTCCTGTCTGGAGCCAGTGCCCCTGTAGAAGAACAAAGCATTGTTGGCCCTGTTCTTCATTAAACAGGTAAACACTGTGTTTCATGTGGAGGCTACTGGCTTAAATATCCACAAATTCTTTATGGGGTTTTGCACAGCAACACATCTTTCCTCGGGGTGCATTAAAGGGGCCAAGGCTTTTGGACTGTGTTTCACTTTAGCCTGGCATGAATACCCTGTAGCCAGCAGAGTTTTACTACAGATGATTTGAGTGTAGTCTTATATTTCTGAGGGAAATAAATGGGCTCAGAACTGCAGAAGGAACAGCAAGAAGGATGGATCTAAACCCCAGAGTGTGGAAGGGGACTGAGCTCAGCTTCCTGCTAGGGGAGTATGTGCTTTCATCCATTCTGAGTGAGTCCAGTATCCTTAGGCCCTGGTAATGTATATTCTCTTCAATTTCCACACATCGTGTTGGGCAAGTTACTTGGATGGCAGAGCCTTAGGCACAGTATACTTCCCTGGAGAACCTTTTGGAAGAAATGCATGTTTTGGGGTATTTACCTGGTTTTGCTGAACCTTGGAATTGGCAGTTGTACATCACAAATGCAGTGACGTGTTGTGAGTAACAGTGAGTTCACACACATTGTTTTGGTTAAGTCTTGGGTTTATTCCTAGAAGAAACACCTTTGGATTCTGTCAGTGGAGAGAGAAAAGGGCAAAAGCATTTCATTTCTATCATGAGTTTTTTTTAAGCATCTCTCTTCACATTCATGAGAGTATTTTTGAGAAAACACTTGGCATTCCTTGCTTCTAAATCACAGAGTAACTTTTTTGAAACAATTCACAAGGAATGGGGTTCCAACACTGTCATTATGGCTATTAAACCTGTCTGAACTGTTTTCCTTTGTGCTGCTTGCCATAACAATGGTGATGTGTAATTTGTTGAATATCCATAACAGGATATTTGAATATATTCTTTACAGTTTTACTTCTGCATATAGCTCAGCATGCCAAATCATTAACCCAATTAACCAAGCCAGATCCACATCTGCCATGGAATGACAATGAAGATTTTTAAAAGAACTTGGTGTTTCACCTCCCTCTTAACGAAAGCAACTCAGACACCAATCACCATCCATAGCGGCAGCTTTTATCAGCATGCTGATAAAAATTATTCATGATTCAGACTGCACAAACTCTTGGTACATCTCCTCTCTCGCTGCTTATCTGTGCATGTGCCCCTGGAAAGGTAAGAGCGAGCCAGTTTATCCCACATCATCCAGGCACGGGATCCTGTGCAGTTCAGTACCTCTGTGCCTTAACAGCGATTTGAGTTTTAAACAGGGGGAGCTGGAAACCTGAAAGATACCAGCAGCACTTCAATTCAAATGGCTTCTTTCTTATCATTTTATTGCACAGAAATTGAATGAAAATATTTGGGGCTTTGCTGGCATGCTGGATGAAAAATCCCTGTTCAAACAGCATCTGTGGTATTACACAGATCACACTCTGTAGTAACCTGTGTGTGCTGTTAACATTAGGTATGATTTCAGGTGTGGGAGGTTCAGTTCATTAGGGATTTGTGTCTCCTGGTAAAAAAAGCTCATATTGAGGAGGAGAACGGTTCATTAGCTAGATGTAGCAGAGTTCATATGCTGCTTCAGTAACCCCTTAAAAATGCTTTATTCATCCTCATCCGCACAAATTCACAGTCTTTGCAGACCAGGAAGGATCTAGGAAGCCAGACAGTGCTCCCAAGGACTCGTGGCAGAGCAGGGTGCATGCTGCTATGGAGCCAGGGTGGTTGTGTTAGTCCTGGCAGCAGAGCTGTTCCCAACTGCTGCAGTGGCAGTTCCTCCATCCCCAGGCTGTGCTGGCTGGGAGAAGGAGCCGGTGTCCTGAGCAACCTTGTCTCTCCAGCATGGACCTCGTTACTCTGATGAGCCATAGAAGCACAGAAGGAACTGCTCGAGCTTTGGAGGCAAGAGAGAGATGGACACTTGTGTGCGTGCATGGAGCTGACTTGGCAGCTCACTGTGTTTGAGGATGATCCCAAGGTGATGTGATCCATGTGAAGTCCTCACAGTTCCCTGTTCCCAAGGTGCCAGTGAATACTGAAGTGAGGGCTGTGACCAGAATGAATGGTTGTGCCCATCTCCCTGGCAAGAAGGGGAAGGCTGTTTGTGGCAGCAGCTGCTGTGTGTGTGTGGGGAGCAGCCTGGGGTCCTGTGTGGTGTCAGCTACGAACACAGGGTGCTGCAAAATGAGCCCAACAGCTCTCTGGCATTGCTGTGTTTGGATCTGTGTCAGCTGGCCCCACCATTTCTTTTATCTCCTTTTTGTTACTTAGTCTTGCTTGGATACCCACATGGAAGCTCAAGCCCCCTGTGTATGCTGGCCTGACATCCCTGGGGCAGGAGAGCTGCGTGGCTGGAGGTGAGCTGGCTCCTTGGCTAAGCCAGGTGCCCATTTCTTGCTGGAGAAGAGGCAGCAAGGCAGGTCTGTCCATAGGGGCTCTGGCACCTGCCACCCTGAGTGGAGCACTGGGGAGGAGCTCGGTGTGGGCTGGTCCTGCACACCTCACCAAGGCATCACCCTGGTGGTGGGACCTGCCTCAGGGAGTTGCCTGTTCCTCAGCACCCAGGGATGCCTCTTTTAGTCTGGTGTTATCTTTTGCCATAACGCAAACTGTGAGGTGCAACAACTGTGGGGCTACCTCATGTCTCTGCTAAGCTTATGGATCGTCTTGGAAGAATGTCCAAGGAGAAACATAAATTCCCTGGAACTCATCAAGAAAATGGTAGCTCTTTGCCAGTGTGGCAATTAGAAAAGTTTCCGTTTTCAGCATATTTTGAAGAGCTGAAGAAAACAATTGTCTTAGCTGATCCTGTGGCTGCATTAGTGTTTGTGGGTATTTATAGGACACTGTACCAGATGAGCTTTCTGACCATCGGGAGTGAGCCTGTCATTCTGGAGCCTCTTCATCAATGTGCCTTTCACGCTCCACAAGATTAGCAGCTGCTGAAAATAGGAAAAAGGAATTTTCCTTTCTTCTGTCTTAGAAGAGACCCATCACACCATCCTCCTTTCGTCTGGGCTCAGAAGTGGCTTTGGTCCTTAGCAAAGCCAGAGCACCAACAGGTCTTTTTAAAGAAGTTCCGCTCCCAGGGAAAATATCCTTTTTGTGTGTTTAGTAACACACATCAAAGGAAACAACCGTTCCAGTCTTGGTTTGCATTGTGCAGGCATTAGCTGTGGTCCAGTTCCACAGGCTCGAGGAGGCTGCAGTGTCCGTGCTCGTCAAGCTCTGACAGACACGGGGGGACTTAGCCAGGCCAGAACGTGCTCGGGGCACGTTGCTTTTGAGAAGAACAGAGCGATTTCCTCGGTGTCACTGCCCCGGCCCCGGGACCTGTGGCACCGTGTCACCAGCTGTGCCCGTGGGGCGGGCAGGGCTCCCTCACACCTGTCACAGCTCTTTGGTTCTCTCTGCACCGTCCCAAATCCTCACCTGCTCGCCCTGCACGGTGCCAGGAGCGGCCGTTCCAGCCTGGGAAGGGCTCTGAAAGGGGGGCCGCAGCCCCCCGAGAGCTCGGCAGTACCGGAGGGGAAATCACCTCTACACCCCCGGGCCGGGGCCCAGGGCAGGGAAACGGCACCGAGCTTCGTCTATAAAGGGGGGAGAGCCCGGGGGCCTGCCCTCCCCGGGGGGCTCTGTTCCCCGCCCTCCCTGCCGGCAGCGCCGGGACCGGCCCATCCGGGCGGACGCTCTGACCGGGACGCGCCGGTTGGGCGCCGGCGTTCCCGAGGGCGGTGCCAGAGGCGGTCCGCAGGTGCCGCCCGTCGCAGCCCGCCCGCGGGTGTCCCGCCGGGGCCGCTTCCCTCACGCGCTGCCGGCTCAGCCCGGCGCGGGGCGGGGCGGGCGCGGCGGCCGCGCCAATCGCCGCCTTTGTTTGGGGTCACCGGGCGCGGGGGGGGGCGGGGCCCGCCGGGGCCGCGCGCAGCCAATAGGCGGGGCCGGGGGCGGGGCGGGTTTCCCGTTCCGCGCACCCTATTGGTCCCACGCGACGTCACTCTGGCGGGCGGCCCCGCTCGTTGGCCACGGGCGCGCGGGGCGCCGTGCGTCAATTGCCGCGTCCCGCCTCCCCCGCGGCGCGATTGGCGGCGGTGACCGTCAGTCGCGCGGTGCCGTTCATTCAGTGGCTGCCGCGGCCATCGGTCGCGCGCTCCGTCCTGCCCCCTCGTCCGCCCAGCGCCGCCGCTGAGTGGCTGCGGCTCGTGCCACTGAAGCGGTACCGCGCTTCTATTGGTGGGGCGCGTTGTCCATCGCGCCCATCCCCTCTGGGCGCCCGCCTCCCGCCGGCCGCGATTGGCCGCCGGGGGTGTCAGTTCGGCGGCTCGGCCAATGGGCGGCGCGGGGCGTGCGCGGTGCGCGCGGGGCGGCCGGGCCGGCGGCGGCGCGGGAGGAGGCGGCGCGCGCCTGGTCCCGGTCGCGAGGAGGCGGAGGAGGATGTGGCGCGCGGAGGGGAAATGGCC